AGTACATCAATATTGGCAATCACTGAAGTGCACATGCACAAAAAATAAAATCAAATGAATACACACCTACAAACACATATGCATACAAAATGTTTCACTTCCATGTATTTATACTTCTCACTGCATCTTGAAAACAAAATGGATCTGAATAGGTCTGCATCACAAATTCCAAACAAATCGATGACAAAGCACCAATAAATGCAAATACTAATAGTAATGATGGCATAATAGTATTTCCATGGAAAGGTTTTTCCTCAGACCCTTTCTACACTCTGGAAAGTTTCAAAAGGCACACTGCTACAAGTTACCAGTAAGAAGAATCTCAAGATGTCTGCAGTGAATAAAGTCTGTTTTAAATGGCAACTTATAATTTTATTTTTAAAATTAGCAGAACATGAAGCAGAAGCAGTTTTAGAAAGGAACAAAGTGGAACCAGGGGGGAACTTGTCTGCTCCAAAAGAACAAAACAAAAAAATTATCTGTCACAAAGCCTTATTCCAATCATTTCCTTCACTGTTAACTTTAATTATACACTCTGACTGTCGTATAATTATGTAGCTTGGGAAGCTGCCAATTACTTCCTGTAGAAACTTCTAAAATTTCTTGCAGAGATTGAACACTACTTCCCTCCATGCATTCCATATATTATGTCACCACCTTTTAAAAGCAAAGTCTCTGACGAGTACGATTATTTAATTGGAACATGAAAAAAATGCAGTGTATATCAGTCACTGATAACAACAGACAATTAACAAAAGAAAGAAAATCTAACTCATCAGGAAACTAATTCAATAGGAAAGTTTTTTTAAAGTCCAAATCATAGCTGAGGACACCACACAATCAAAGAAAACATGGGGTTTTTTCCCTCCACTAAACAACCTTTATTCTGGAGTCTCCCATCACACTGTATAGTAAACACAAACTGAGATTGAAAAACAATTAACTGAAAGCCCCAATAAAGAAAAACAACACTGTGTTTATCTGAAGGAAGACAGCATGTACAGAAAACTGACTACTGTAAGTAGTAAGTTTCCAACAGCAAAAAGCTGAATGGAGAAATGCATTGTGGGGAAGCAGGTAAGAAAGAATCAAACAGGGAAAAAAAGTTTGGTTCTTTTTGTTTCCTCCTCCACTGTGTGACACCCATGTTTTCACCCTGAAATGCTTTCTGCTTGCAAGCCGCAGAGTTACCCAACTGCTCCACTGCCTTCATATCCATGCTCTTAAACACTTTGCATTTGTATTTACTCTTCCTATGGGTGCTTCTCTTTGGTACTGGTCTTTAAGGACCCACTGAAGGGCACTTCAGTTTCAGACATCCTTCCCACCTAACTAATCCACTTGTTATGCAAATTATTTCTAAGCAGAGGCAGCCAAGGAATGAAAAGGGAAGAGACTATTTATTGCCTATATTCTGTTCTAACTTTTCCTTATCCATTTTTAGTAATAGAAGATGACGCCTTATGAAGGGACATGCAGCTGGGGCATCCTAAGAAAGCGGCAGGTCAGGCTGCAGTGATTCGTGCTGTCCATTAAAATGCAGCACTGCTAATAGTCTCAGTGAAACCATCATGGTCTCCTGACAGTGTATTTGCTTAATACACCACATTCTGTCACGAGAAACTTCATATTTTCCAAGCTCCTTTCAAACCAACTCTGGTTTCCAGTCTCAATTTTTAATTACTGCACAGTACAGGTGTTATCACATTTTGGGCTTAGGAATTAACCTATGGTACAGCAATCAACTGCATTGCAAATGGCCAAGTTGAAAATAATCTCTTCTCCTAGGAACCAAAATATTTCCTAATCTCAAAAACGAAAAAAAGAGAAGGGCTTCTGTCAAAGAAGTTGTTCAGCATGCAAGCATTAGCTGTATAGCTAACAATTTCTTGTGGAAACTTAACCTTGACCACAGAGCGAATTTTTATTAGAGTATAGGAGTAGAAATATATCTGAAAAAATAAGCAAGGTCAAGAGGAGGCTGTATAAGTAAAGCAAACTGGTGTTGTGGGAGCTTTGGGAGCCAAAAGCCATGAAGTTAGTGATAGATGTGAAATATGGAACTCAAAATGGGAGGGAAACAGTCAGGTCAGGGCCCACAGGAAGCCACCGTACACTAGTCAGTAAGGCAAGGAGATGAAAAGGTAGAAAGCAGGTGTCTTTTGTGATCAAAGACTAGCAACGCTGTAGGAGTTGTACAACACCATTGATCTCGGAGTTGTTCAGCATGTTGTTGACATGACGGGGTGGACCACTGCAGATGAGTGACCTACCACGCCAGCAACACTAGTATCAGCAGTAAGTAGAACTACTCAGGAAGAACAGGTAGGCTAACATATTCCCAAGGTGCATTAACAGTTCCCAAAGCAGTGTTGGGCAAGCCATTTAATCTGAGCATGCCTCAGGCTTGCATTTCTAGTGTATTCTCAGGCGCGAAATACTTGAGGCATTCAGACACTCTGCTAACAGGAGCCATACAAGAACAAAAAAAGGTGTACCAGGTTTGCATGGCAAGGTTTTGGTAGCTTCGGGGCTATAAGGTGGTTTCTGTGAGAAGCTGCTAGAAACTTCTCCTATGTCCAACAGAGGCAATGCCAGCTGGCTCCAAGACGAACCTACTGCTGGCCAAGGCTGCGCCCACCAGCGATGGTGGTAGTGCCTCTGGGATAACATATTTAAGAAGGGGAAAAAAACCCACATAAGGGCAATTTGCAGCAGGAGAGAGGAGTGAATACAGGAGAGAAACAGCTCTGCAGACACCAAGGTCAGTGAAGAAGGCAAGGGAGGAGATGCCCCACGTGCTGGAGCAGAGATTCCCCTGCAGCCCATGATGAACACCATGGTGAGGCAGGCTGTCCCACTGCAGCCTGTGGAGGTCCATGGTGGAGCAGATCTCCACCTGCAGCCCATGGAGGATGCTGGCGGGGCTGGTGGCCCCCCACACTGGAGCAGCCCCTTCCTGCAGGACTGCAGCCCGTGGACTGGACCCACGCTGGGGCAGTTGGTGGAGGACTGTCTCCCGTGGGAGGGACCCCATGCTGGGGTAGGGGAGGAGCGTGAGGAGGAAGGAGCAGCAGAGACAAGGTGCAATGAACTGACCGCAGCCCCCACTCCGCGGCCCCCGCGCAGCTGGGGGGAGGAGGCAGAGGAAGATCAGAAGTGAACTGGAGCCCGGGAGAAAGGCAGGGGTGCAGGAAAGGTGTTTTTAGGATTTGGTTCTATTTCTCCTTATCCTACTCCAATCTGATTGGTGATAAATTGAACTGATTTCCCCAAGTTCAATCCGTTTTGCCCATGACGGTGATTGCTGAGTGATGTCTCCCCGTCCTAGTCTCGACCCACGAGCCTTTCGTCGTATTTTCTTCTCCCCTGTCCAGCTGAGGAGGGGAGTGAGTGGCATTGGTGGGCACCTGGCATCCAGCCAGGCTAAACCATGACACAGGCATCTCAAACTAACAGCAAAAATTCTCAGTAATGCTGCAGCAAAATACTGCATTATAGAACCAAAGCTGAGCCAGCACCAAAGTCCCTTCTAAAGAGTGGCTAATTACATGCTACACTGAACCCAATTTTTAAGACAGCATTTGCAACGTGAAAATGAAAAATAAGAAAAAATTGAGATATCAATGAAAGCTGTATTTCAGCAGATTTTCTGTCCTCTTCAAATTCTTTCAGACTTCTTTAAAACACAACTCTCTCACTTGAAGCACTGGCTACCCCTATTAAGCATATTCTCTGAATTTAGAATTTTCAAAATTTGCCTATGAAGTAGCACCATCCAGATCTTACCAAATTTTAATGAGAAAAAGTAACTTCTTTCTTTTTTATAAACAAAACCACATTTCAGCATAGTTTATCCAGAAAACATACTCATTGCCCAGTATGTGGAATAACCCTTAATTTCAGGGGTTTATTGGGTTTGATAAATATTGCTGTATTACCTGCTACCCCAGTTTCTTTTAACAGTTATTGCTAGATTCAGACTGAGGCAGAAAGATATATTCAAGCAGCAGATCTGACAATCTTCTGGTCTCCTACTACATCCATGTATCATCCTGGCCTGGGTACCAGCATGCCCTTTACAAATCGATCAGGACTTTGACACTGTTCTACTTTGAGCAAAAAATGAGGCAATAATGCGCATTAAAAGTTCACTGTTCACTTTCTATTTCTGTTGCTATACACAACCTTCCTCATGCAGGTATCCTTGTGTGCTTTTCCTTAGGGAGCTGAACCATCCCTGCTACCTCAAGGCATTGACTTCCTAGACGATCCTCTACTCCCATTTGTGCTCACTAAGTTTACATTTGGCAAATACTCGACTTCAGTACAGGTCAGGAAAAGCTGTTCGATTCAGAGCCAGGTATTAGTCAGCTGTATGTCTCTTCTGGTAAGGATGCAACACATCACTTGCTTTAACTACCCTTGAACTAACAAATGTAGGAAGTGGAGTGGGCAGGAACGGCTTCTGCAAGTGAATCATGATGCTTTTTTACCTATTTTTCTCCAAGCACTACCTCACCTACAGCAGCAGTATTAGTGGAGCATCTTAACTCTCAGGACACTGCCAGCTCGGTCACTTATCAAGACATTTATTCACCAAAGCCTCCTTTCCACAGAAAACCGACATTTTTTGGTAGACTTGGGGCAGGGAATTCTGCACAATTACTCATTTCTGAGCTTGTGGACATCTATCACGCATCTTAAAAAGGCACAAGCTCATTTCCCTTCTCTTTGCAGGCCTAAGCAAAAAGTAGTATTTGCAAAAAGTAGTATCTATAATCTTTGACTCATCAATGCCAGACTAAACAGCTGTACAGCTTTCTCCCAAAACTTTTACAGACTTACGTCATGTTTTAGTGTTATGTGGTTTGCCTTCCTAGAGTTTGCTGTTAACGATATCAGGATTCTGAACCTCCTCTTCAAAGCCAACTGTAAACAGGGCATAAACAGTGTGATCAGGCAACCGCACAGGTCTCAAAGACAAGAAGTCGTCTTACCCGTATATAAGCATCTTGGTGGTGTTTAGCAAAGTACAGCATGTTGTCCAGGGCTAGCATTCCTGGAGGGGTCTGCGTAAAATCCATTGCTGGGTTTACATGATTCTGTAAAAAGGTAACAAGACCACTCAATTAGCATCCTTACAAAAGCTGTCGGCTCCCCAGTGATGTGAGCCATGTTCGCGTGCTGTGCCAAGAAGTTCAGCGACAGAGCTCTTTTTGCTGAGCAGAATACCCTTGACAAGGAAATGGTCCATGCCTCAAGGAACTTTAAAGCCAAATGCAAACACTACGAGGCTGGCATGTCAGTCATTCACTTCTGTAGCTACGGAACAGAGTTTCCCAAAGGTTGAGTGCTTTAGAAGCACAGATCTCCCAAGTCGTTCATGGCAGAAAACACTTCCGCGTGGTACCACAGACTAAAAGTACTATTTACATGAAAATGCAGAATTACATGCAAACAGCCACCAAAACATTTATTTATGTAACTACTATAGAACAATTCCAAATAAAACACGCAAAGGAGAAACAACTACTAGATTAAAAAGCTGTATTAAGCCTATTGGATGTTGTGAACCCCTGAATATGAAAGGCGTCAGACAAGAGTGTATAAAATTAAACAGATTTACCTTGTGGAACTCAGGTAGATCATTTGTTATGTTCTGAATCTACGAATTTCAACTATGGAATTACTGAATGAAAATACCAAATATAACCAAAACTTGTTAGCTTCCATACGCACCTACAAATTTCAAATGTTCATTTTCACATATTACACGAAAAACTGCATTTCCTCAAATACTCCTTAACCCAGACCATCTTTTGTTGGACAGAATTAAAGGTACATTGGAGTAAGTTTCACTTAGTTCATGGCTTAGATACCAACATTTGCCTGGCTACAGACTGGCTTGAAAACGCCACAGAAGCCGCTCAGAGAAACAAAGACCCAAGAGGATGCCTCCATCAAAAAATGCCTATTGTCTGCTATGCTCTTTTATCAGTATCACCTTTGCAGTGTCTCCAGCTCCACTCATCATCCTGACACAGAAAGATTTCCCTAGTTGCGTTGCGATGGCATTTCTATGCTGCAAGACCCAGCTGACAGAGACTTTAAAAGTGCATTTACTAGCAGAAAACTGGCTGGCAAAGATCAGCAAGATTTTTAATTCCGTCAGTCTGTTTCTGCTGTGTGCTCAGGGTCTGATCCACCCACCTCACACACAAAAGCATGGGTTTTACTACTTTTCCTCCTGTTGAGCCTGCCAGGCCATAAAGTTGTAGAAAAGAGATTCCACTCTCTTGTCCGTCTTACCTTTAGATGCATGATCGGTCAGTTTTAGCCAGTCAACAATTCATAGTCACATGAAAGAACAGAAATATTAGAAAGCAAAAATTATACATTAAGATGGCTGCTGCAACTTTAAAAGTAGACAAAGATTTTGGGCTGAAGACGGCATGCACAACCTGGTCATTTTACATCTCTGGCTTACGAGAACTGGTGTACAGGCTAAACAATTGTAGACTCATAATTTTGCAATAGTGAATCAAGAGGATGCCTGGAATCTTAGATTTTACATGGAAACATCCATGCGGAAGATATTTCAGGAGGGTAGTAGTCTAGGGTGGGAAAACAAAGGCTTATCAAGTTACATTTTCCAAAAATTCACCTTTTAAAAACTTTTTTCCTAAAAAAAAAACAAAAAAAAAACAAAAAAAAAAGAAACCAAAAAAAACAAACACCAAAAAACCCCAAACCAAAAACTCTCTTCTGTTCATCTGAATGATGAACAAAAGCCCTTCACAGCTATTTCCCCAACCCACCCTTCCATCTTCCACATGTGATACATTTACCAGTCAGAACATTTAAACTTAAACTCAGTGCAAGACTGCTTCACACACATCCCAAGCCCAACAGACTTCAGCTTCTGGGAGGAGAAAACTTCCCTTCCCAGAATTTTCAAGCATTACAGAAAGTGCATTTAAGTGAGGCTGAGCCTGGCAGACACACAAACGTCTGCCTCCGCTCCCCACCCAGCATCACTGTGTTTGCAGGGCTTTACGCATATTTGAAACCACCTTCATTTTGGGCATAAAGTACAAGGTCCTGAGGAACAACATCACTTGATACGTCGCCTTGCCATGAGGCAAATTTTCTTGGGAAAGCTGTTGGGAGGCTGTCACCAGGGAACCACACGCCACCAGTTTTACAATGCCTCAACTTCAGCATAGGGCTGCACATACTCCCTTCCCCCCCATGCTATAGCACAGGCAGAGAATACTTGGATACACACGTGGCAAGCAGAGAGTATCAAGACTCAGCTACCTTCCTCCAGTTATTCAAATACTCACACTCATTTCACTGGCATTTACAAACAATGCTGAAATAAAAGCAGGATACTGAAATAAAAAGGCTGACCTACTGTTGCTTGAGTAGTTCCTTCCTTCATCCCATTCTACATCTCAAGTTATATAGAAAAGTCAACAAAAATAAGCACAGGCATGAGAAATCTCACCACATTTAGGAAGTGACTCATTTTGTCTCTCACCATCACTAGTAGTTCTATGCTCAATCAGAAAAGCCATCTCTCCATCACTTACTGCTTTTTCTCCAAGTCAAGCCTATAAACCCAGCTATTTTCAGTTGTTTGTTTCAAAAGTTTCTGTCACTTTGGATCCCAGGATAACCAGGGCTTCATCTTCAGCTCTGTTAAGTTAAATAACCGGAGATATGCCAGCTGGTAATAGCTGAGGATCCACAAGACAATTCTGGCATATATGTGAGACAATACATTCTTTTCAACTGTTCTTCAAGATCAAAAGGAATGCCAGCTGCTTTGTTCCCTTCCTTCTTCCTCCCTCCTCCTAAACTCATCCTTTGCTTAACATGTTGAATGTTTGTGGTTGAAATATTAACTTATTGAGAGTGGGTTCAGAAATGAGATACAAAGCTAAATTATCTAAAATGCTGTATGAATAATTCAGAAGTATGCAAACAGCCCCACCTACAACATAATTTATTAAATATATGGAACATAACGCTTCAGGCATATTACTTGCATCTGTTTAGTATAAAGTCTGTTGCATTTGTCTCTTTATAAAAAGCCAAGAGTAAGAAATACAAATGGAACAGATAAGTTACCTCCAATTTTTCAGATAATTTTTTGATATTTTCCACTAGACTGACTAATATTTATGCATCTTTCAGCTTCAGCGTCTGAGCGTTATTTAGCAGCTTACGCTCCTATACCATACATGTTAGCATACCAAAAGCATCAAGAATTTGTTAGCCAGTGTAGTAGTGTACTGTGGAAATGAAAATTCATTCTTTTGAATAAGATGTAAACCCCAAATCATGTCTGCTTATGCCATTAAAAAAAAATCAAACATGTGGAATGTTTCACAAGATTATAGCTATTCTGGATAAACTCCAGTGTAGTAATTACATTCTGACAACCTAGCATTCTCACACAGTCCTAGCTGCATAAGGCTTTCTTCTCTGTCCTGAATGGCTCCACTGTCTTACTTCTGGCTTCCAAGGCAATATGTGAGGTATGTATAGATGTCAGTTGTAAGAACATGTCCTCGCACTGAGATGCCTAATCACAGTAATGGTGTATTGTCTGTAGACAACTGCTAATGGAACAAGCACTGCTCATTCCTTATATTATTCCTAACAACAGTATCTTCCACGTGAATATGCTGAAGCACAGAAACCATTTATTTCCCTGAATTCCTAGCCTATTCAGGTATAAACTTCTTATTCCTGTCTTGACAGATATTGACACCTATCACAGATTTTGCATCAGTGCTACGCTCAGCTACCTAAACCAGTTGCGAAGTCGTGCTAGTTTGTCCTGAAAGCTGCTTGCAGTAGATGCTAGACCAGTAATAGTTGTTCTACACAGAAGAGCAAGCTTCTGTTGTTCCAACCCCAAAGCAGCTCAGGTGAAATGCTATTCTGTAGGTATGACAAAAACACTACTGAAGTCCCCCGGGGGAATTAAAACTGTAAAAGAACTGATGATAGAAGAATTCAGAACTGAAAAAAATGAAAAGGAAGAGCTCAATACAAATAGTGTTCATCTAAAATGAACCCTCTCAAAACTAGTAATTTTTTTTTTCTACAGAAAAAGGAACAATCTGTCTACATAGATAGTGCCAAGGACAGTGATCACTTTCTCCCATCTTCAATTACTTGCACTTACTCATTTTCTTCCTTCTTTTAAATTGCAACCGCGGTTCTGTGGGCTAGGAAGGAAAGCAATTACCCGGTTCTACTGCACCTACGCAAAAACCTTCCCTGGGTCAAATGAGGAAATCACAGTAGTACATACATGGATGTTTGTTCATAAGAACTCAGGACCAGGAGGGTGGGAAGTTTTAAAGTGATATTCACAGTAAATTATGAATTGATAAACTTATGTTGGAAGTATCAACAAGCAATCAACCTCACCATTTACCCCTTCTCTAAATAACCCTTAAGTTTTACACACAAAATGTTCCCATCTGTTCATTTACACAAGAATTGCAAATAGGAAAAAATGCTACATTAAAAAAAAATTGTGAAGAGGTAGTCAGCTAAAATTCTTAATGAGGAAGTAATTTTGTCTTTTTATTTAACAGCACTATATTCAAAGAGATGATGATGCACACAACTTCCACCATTCAGTTTAATGCAATATAACAGTGACTTCGGAATTTTCAACCTCTATGTATTCAATGAAAGCAAGAACTAACAAACAGATTTGTTTTTCCCTTGATAACTCCTGAAATATGCAAATGTGCAGGTTTTTTCTTCCAATGCCAATTTTTTTTAATTTTCCAACAGAATGCTATGAGAGAATGAAAATGTACCTGGAGGATCCCTGAATTTAAAATAGATAAAATAATAAAGCCACTGTCTACCTCAAGTCAGAAGTATCCAGGCTCAGCGATTGTTTCATCATTGCAAGAATTTACAGAAAATCTTTTAAGATACTTTAAGTGCATGTCATTTAAATCACACCCCCACTACCCCACCACATATAAAGAAATCTGATATATTTTTAAGGGATATAGTTTTCCTAAACTTACAAATTATGTTTGCATACAACAATGGTAGTTAT